CGTCATTGTTGGTCTTATTCTTTGCTTCAGGATTCAGGAAATTAGGAAGTGTTTTTAGTTTTGTCACTCATAAATTTGGCAAAAATAAAGACAAAAGAGTATAATATGAGCGATGGGTTCAAAAGCCTTTGTGGAGTCTTAAAATGTGACATTAAATAGCATAAACAAATAATTATTTGGCAAAAAAAAAAACATTTTTTCTGTTAATAATAATAAAAAAAATTTCTGGCGCTAAAATGCATATAAATTCCGCACCAACAGGGGGCGCAATTTCTGTACTTCCACATCCTTTCTTTGCCGGGCGGGATTTCCGCAATAATATCAAGTATGGCGAAAACGTACGACTATTTGTTCAAACTACTGTTAATCGGGGACTCTGGTGTCGGGAAGACCTGCGTCCTCTTCAGGTTTTCAGAAGACGCCTTCAATTCCACGTTTATTTCGACAATAGGTACGTTTTCAGGGTGAGGGATATAAACCTGTTCTGTGTTGAAGCTGATCAGCTGGCGGTGCGGATGCGTCTACTTGCTGGAAAAGGCACTGACTGTGGAAACAGACATAGTAGTTTAATCCTGTCAGTAAACGCGTTGTTTACACTCGTCCTACTATCATTTGCTGTTCAGTCATTATCTTCAAGTGTATTTTCTTGGTGTTTTTACCGAATCATTTTTTGTATTTGATAGTTTAACTTCCGTTACCGGTATGTAAAGCATAACCTTTTATTTCCTGTAGGCATTGACTTCAAGATTAGGACGATAGAACTCGACGGGAAGAAGATAAAGTTACAGATATGGTAAGAGGTTTCTTTTTCTAATAAATGCTTCATGAATAAATGACATCAAGACAGGGTTTATTGTGTTTTCCTGGTACAATGGAAAGAGGTGCTACAAAACCGTAATAAACATAGAGTCTATAAATGTTTAAGAATAAAGTTTTAACAACTAATTTTGTTATATTCATACCTAGGGCTGCCACGATTAATCAACGACTAATCGATTATTAAAATAATTGATGACTAATTTAATAATCGATTAATCTTTTTCTTTTTTTGTTCTTTACTTTGTTTTTCTCTCCAAACTACTTTGACACCTTCCACTGCCACATCTGCCTTTCTGTCCTTGACACACATGTACAGTAGTAGTAACTGGGGTAGGCTGTGGACGTCACAAGACATTATACAGACAGGCTCTGGTATCATGGCTACCCAGCAACGGAGCTAAAAAGTGGGAACTTTTTAAGAAAATGAAAGAGAAACCTGTGCAATATCTGCAGAGCAGAACTTGCCTTCAAGGCTCGACACACGGGGAGCGACAAACTACAGCGATTAATGGGCTCGACACACGGGAGGCGACGTCGCTCGCTCTCCATTCATCTCCTATGGAGCCTGTGCGGTGAGGCAACAATCACTTGCCCTCCTCCAGCTAAGCGACCGGCGAAAATAGTGCATGTGAAATTTTGCGCTCGTACATGTAGACGTGCACACGCGAGCTTGCYACGCGACAAATGAAAGTTGAAAAATGTTCAACTTTTGTCGCTGTCGCCTAGCGTACAACCAATCAGCGAGGGTTTCATTGACTGACCAATAAGAGGAGAGTATGCTACACAAGCTAACACTTTCACCAAGTGATTACTAAAAAGCTTTGTGGGAATTTATTGGCACCAGGGTGAAGTTTATGGTAAGTTTTTCCTCATAAAAACTGTATCTTGATGTGTGTTTGTTTTCCAATATCATTAGCGTCGCAAGATTTGTTTAGTTTACACGTCCGTAATGCACACCCAAGAACCAATCAAATTTTGTGAAGACAAGCGACCTGAGAGAGCGATTCGCAACGTTGCGATCGCTATCGCGTCCCGTGTGTCGGGTTCCACCCTGGCTGCGATGACAGCCGTCAATCGCTGTAGTTTGTCGCTGCCCGTGTGTCGAGCCCTTAACGGCTGTCATCGCAGCCAGGGTAAAACCCGACACACGGGACGCAATAGCGATCACAGCGTTGCGAATCGCGCTCTCAGGTCGCTTGCCTTCACAAAATTTGATTGGTTCTTGACTCAGACGGTGGGTGTGCATTACGGACGTGTAAACTAAACAAATCCTGCGATGTTAATGATATTGAAAAACAAACGCACATCAAGATACAGTTTTATGAGGAAAAACTTACCATAAACTTCACCCTGGTGCCAATAAATTCCCACAAAACTTTTTAGTGATCACTTGGTGAAAGTGTTAGCTAACTGCAGTGTGTAGCATACTCTCCTCTCATTGGTCAGTCAATGAAACCCTCGCTGATTGGTTGTACGCTAAGCGACAGCGACAAAAGTTGAACATTTTTCAACTTTCATTTGTCGCGTCGCAAGCTCGCGTGTGCACGTCTACGTGTACGAGCGTGAAATTTCACATGCACTATTTTCACCGGTCGCTTAGCTGGAGGAGGGCAAGCGATTGTTGCCTCACCGCACAGGCTCCATAGGAAATGAATGGAGAGCGAGCAACGTCGCCTCCCGTGTGTCGAGCCCTTTCCACAGCAATTATTTTTAGTTAGCATATAGCTAAAATCTAACGATGGTTATACAATAGCAGCTGCATTCTGACGTGATAAGCTGTATGTTTTAAATTCAATTAACGTATGATCCGATTAGTCGACTAATCGAATAAATAATCGATGATTAATCGATTATTAAAATAATCGTTTGTGGCAGCCCTATTCATACCCGTTCCCCCCCAGTAAAACAACACCTAATACTGTATATTTATATTGTGGCTCAAAACGTAAGTAGAAACTACTTTTTAGCTCTTTGTGCAAAAATAATGTAAATATCAATTAAAATTTAAGTCAAGCTATGAGATGAGTATTTAGGCAATAGCAATAGCACTGTCAGTTTTGGAAAATCTATCTCAAATACAGCACTTTAATAGAGAAATACTGCAAACAAACCATTAGGGATGCAAAAATAAAAAATATTTAGGACTTAAAATTTCAGCACTGAATTGCAAGGTTTGTGCAGAACTTTCCAGTAGCTTGCATTCTGTAAAATCCCATCATTTCGAATAACTGACTCTGTACATTTTCTCCTGCTAGTGTTTGTTTTTTGTACAGATTTTCTATTTAAAATAATCTCACTATACCATATCCTGTTCTCCTCAAAGGCGCAGTGAAATGAGAAGTTTTACAACTTGGTTCCCACAAACTGTTTTTCATGCGTAGATTTTTATTTTAAGCCTGTTACGTTGTACTCTTTCAGGGATACAGCTGGTCAGGAACGCTTCAGAACAATCACAACGGCGTACTACAGAGGAGCATTGGTGACGATTTATCCAAACTGACCATATTTGACTTCCTTTTGAAACAATTCTCTCTACCTGTTTTGTAAAACGTATGATTTTCTGTGCCTCACAGGGTATCATGCTTGTCTACGACATAACGAACGAGAAGTCTTTTGAAAATATCAAGAACTGGATAAGAAACATAGAGGAAGTATGTACTGCTACCAATGCATTCTTTACATGCTTGCTAATAGGTGATGACACCTGGTCTGTGCATCGGATTAAACAACAAACAGATTTGTTACAGAGGGGAGACTGATGATGGCACACACTAACTTTGTATTTAATTAAAAACAAATCAACAACAAGTAGAATTGCTATATTGAGTTAATTCATGTTTTTTTTAAATGACACGAGGAAGAGGTTGTGTTGTGCTCCACGTCGACTCAGCTGAGTTTTGGTTTTGTGATGTCCGAAACTCACGCCAGTGTGGAACGTGTGCACCATCAAATAGTTGAATTTCCTTTTTGTTAATTTAGCATGCATCGGCGGATGTTGAGAAGATGGTTCTTGGCAATAAATGTGACATCAACGACAAGAGGCAGGTGTCCAAAGAGAGGGGAGAGAAGGTGAGTAGTTGGATTAAATAGAAATATTTCAAATCCTGGTACTTGGATGAAACAAGAACTTTAATGCAAATCAATTAAGATTTAATACATTTCTTTTTTTTTTGTTCAGCTTGCTCTGGAGTATGGAATCAAGTTCGTGGAGACCAGTGCAAAGTCCAACATCAATGTGGAAAATGTGAGCTACTCCCTTTTTTTAAAACACGTTCTTATCTTTTTTTATTTAGTCACTTAGATTGCATTATGTGTAGGGCTGCCACAAATGATTATTTTATAATCGATTAATCACCAATTATTTTTTCGATTAGTCGGCTAATCGGATCATATGTTAATTGAAAATAAAACATACAGCTTATCGTGCCAGAATGCAGCTGCTATTATATAACCATGGTTAGATTTTAGCTATATGCTAACTAAAAATAATTGCTGTGGAAGGTAAGTTCTGCTCTGCAGATATTGCACAGGTTTGGGCCCAGATCTACTCTCCAGGGGCGGACCTATGGTGAGGGAGTGGAGGCTGCACCCCTCAGTGGTGGACCAAATTTGGTCCATATTTGGCAGGGCAGCAGTGGATCTCTTTGCCACAAGGGCCAACACCCACTGCCCTCTGTTCTTTTCCATAACGGATCAGAACGCCCCACTGGGGGTGGACGCTCTAGCCCACCCGTGGCCCAACGTACTGCTGCATGCATTTACCCCAGTGGAGCTGATACTGCCTGTACTAGAGAGGGTACGCAGACAGGGTCTGTCTCTGATTCTGGTGGCACCCCACTGGCCAGCGAAGTCCTGGTACGCCGAGATAATCAGCCTGCTGGCTGCTCATGCTCCATGCTCTGTCTGTAAATCCCTCCTGTATTCAGTTTTCACCTGATGGCTCCAAGGTGGTGCTGCATCCAAACTCAGCGTATCTCCCTAAGG